ACTCTTCCAATCTACTTTTGATTAAAGCTATTACTCTTCCAATCTACTTTTGATTAAAGCTATTACTCTTCCAATCTACTTTTGATTATTACTCTTTCATCTTCTCAAAAATTAACAGAGTGATGTATACTGACTGGTCTTTCGAGATGTTTAATGGGACACATGCACTGATTGATCAATACAGTTGTTAAAAGAGTTCTGCATTCTTCAGTTTTTATAGAAACTTACTTGGACTGCACTGATTTCCTAAGAGTTAACTGAGTGTGTTATTTGATTTTTTCTTAGAACATGGTTTGAGTTTGCATTCTCTAGTCCTTCTGGATACTGACTGAGACCTGTATTATAAATCCTTGTAAGTATTCATTGAAACCTAAGTATTCGAGTCCTTCTACAAGTTAACCTGCATTTTCTCTGTTTTGTGTGGATAAGGAGTGTGACTTGGATTATCTTCTCATTCTGGAAACTGACTAGAGAACCTTGATTTTCTCTCTCTAACTGTTTTAACTTGTGTAATCCGATTCTACTGTTGAATTCCAAGTTACTGCAGAACTTGTTGTTCTCGTATTTCTTGGAAACAAAATTCTGAGGGGCTGTACTACTATCTTCACGGCTGTTTACAAGCTTCGCTGTTCACGCTCCATATTTTCTGGATTTTCAGAATATTACTTGCGCCATATATTATCTTATGTTTTTAGAAATTCTCTGGAATTTTCAAATATTAATCAGAGTTACATTCTATGGTATTTTTAAATATTCTTTGGACTTTCTGAATATTCATTGCAGCTTATATAATCTGATATTTTTAGAAAATGTCTCATCTATTTTCTTTCTTTAATTTGGATGTTATAAGGAACCTGTATTTTCTAAACGACCAAACCAACTAAAGCTCCTCCACACTTGTCTGAAGGTGAATGTCTTGGTTACTCACGGTTCTTTGGTTAAACTATACATAAAACTGTTTACAAACCATTTCAGTCTGTACTTGATGATGATGCCTTTACTGGCAAAACAATGGTCGTGAATAAATGAAGTATTTATGAAACGTACAATTGTCTTTGTTTTATTCCTCAATTCTGTAATTAAGGAGTTTCACCAAGTACGGACGGTTTAAAATATTAATTATTAAAATGTTTTATTTATTGAAAGACATTTAATTAATTGTACTGAAAAGGTATAAATGAGCAACTGTTCTCATAAACGCTTTTATTGATTAATGAATAATTCTTGACTTTTGTTGTTGTTTAAAAATTCATAAATATTTGTCAAAGTGTTAATTTAAAATATACCCGTTCAAAGCTATTATGTATAAAATAGAATAAAAATGAAGCATCGATCTAGGCATAGTATAAATGTTTAGGTTATTAAATATTTCATCTACATCGAATATCTTATTTAGCCATAAAAAGTTATGCAATGAGAATAATTGTATTGCTTCCTCTTGCTGCATATGACGTTACCATGGGTTAGTAATGATAATTCAAAACGAATGTATCAGACAATGCTTAGCATTCACGAATACTTGAAGAACTAAATATATTTGAACAAGTGAAATGCGTTATTTGATAGATATTTTTAAAACAATGATGAGGAGATATATTGAGCAAAAAATACTTTAAGGAAATTTGAACAACCTATATATCTGTTTGTAAGTTTAAGATGAGAACAAATATTTTTATCGTGCGATTATTCTTATTTTTTCCTAGGGTGTTTAAGACAACTATTTTTATAATGCATGACTTAAACAAATTTACGAATGATCCATCAAGAGCAAAAATTTCTAGCGGTGTATACAAATAGTTAAAGTTTGTACAAAATATATGAAGTAAAGGTGCTTTGTTTAAACCTAAAGTGAGACGATAATAATGAATCAGAATCAATTATACACATAGAAGAAATTATAGGAATAGTGTGATAAGGTATTAAGTCAATTCATGATATATTGAATGAAAAATTATTTAAAAAATTAAATGGGGGAGGTTAAGACCATATGAAGAAATGTTTAATCAAACCTAAGTTTTGAATGGAAGTTAAAATTACACGACAAAAGAGTTTCTGAGTTGCAGAAAAGGGTGAATTTCATTTTGCGTGATATTAACATACAAAAAGGATAACTTTCCTGGACTGTATTGTTATACATATATATATGTGTATTAGAATTTCTTACAATTATTATATTATATTTGAAGAGGCCATGATAAGCTCCTTTTACTAGATAAAGTTTGGAGCAACATGGTGGCTAATTACATTCCATCTAACAAATAAAGGTATATTACTTAATGATTAATCTGTTTTTCATGTAAAATCAACTTATTTGATGATTTAAAACTGATTAGTCTGGTTTCCTTTTTCGTTCAATTTGATGTCAAATACTCTTGTGAATCAAAACTTTGGCCTACTTTCCCAGCGTGTTGTTCTCTTTACTTGAAATATGTCCAACGAAATACTTTCTCATTCTCTTTTTTTCGGTTTTAACTTGTGTAATCAGATTCTACTGTTGAATTCCAAGTTACTGCAAAACTTGTTGTTCTCGTATTTCTTGGAAACAAAATTCTGAGGGGCTGCACTACTATCTTCACGGCTGTTTACAAGCTTCACTGTTCACGCTGCACATCCTTGTAAGATCAAATAGTTCAGAAACTATAACTTAATGTCGTTAATGTTACTACTCTTTCATAAGAAAAATACATTCTGGAATCTGCTTCTAACCATGTCAATTGTTTATCTAATCTCTTCATTGCAGCTGTTTCTTGTTGTGACCTTGGGTTCCAAATATTTTGTATTACGAATGGAATAGCACTGCTTTGAATTCTGTATTGAATTTTCCAGATAAATAGCCGAAGAAACAGGCAGAAAGTGAATGCCAATACTCATTATCTAGGCTTAATTAATATATTTATTTAAATACTGGAGGATTCCAATATAGCGTCAACTGATACAAGTGGCAATACGTGACGCAAAGTAGTCCTAAATGCTGAATGATTTCGATACAACGATAACTAATATAAATGGTAACACATGACATAAAGTAGTACTAAAATCTGGATTATTTCAAAGAACAATAACATATAATAACGGCAATACATGACATAAAGTTGCCCTAAATTCTTAATGGTTCTAGTACAATAATAACTGATAATAACGACAACACGTGACATACAGTAGCTCTAAACGATAAATGATAATAAAGGCAGTACATGACATAAAGTAGCCCTAAATTCTGGGTGGTGCTAATACAACGATAACTGATAATAGCAATACATGACATAAAGTAGTCCTAAATTCTGGATGGTTCTAATACAACGATAAATGATAACAACAGCAGCCATTTATGACACAAAGTAGTCCCAACTTCTGGATGATGTAGTTGAATTTTATAATATATTGAACATGACATCATGAAAGTATTGTGGAGAATCATTACATATTTTCAAACTTCGTGTATTTCTTTTATGTTAATGAGCAAAAACAAGAGTCAGTCAGGTTTTGGATAACAACAACTGTCAATTTGGAAAGTTTTGAAAAAGTAGACTATCCTCAAAAAAATATGTTCCAAAGAGTTGTAATCAAAAATAGTAGAAAACTACGCAGCAACCAAGTAAATTAACATTTCTTTCTACGGAGAAGTGAGATTGTCCAAAGCTACGCATCAAACGCTAGTAAGTAGCTTTATTTTATGAGAAAAATTCGATAGCATTGAACGAAGTTAACAAAGTAGAGGTTTTGTCATAAAGGATTTGTAAGGTTCGGTCTTCAGAACGTTCATTGTTTGAAATATTATGCAATAATTTATAAACAAACGTACTTTAACTATAACTTTTCTTCAAATGTTAGTGTCAATGAAACAAGAAATCAACAATACACAATTTTCACACAACGTTACAATATTAATTTGATAATTCAGCACTGCTAAATCAAACACTTCACTTAAAGGAATTTAATGTGTAAATTTAGTAAATTGTTCGTTTGTTATGAATTTCGCGTAAAGCTACACGAGGGCTATCTGCGCTAGCAGTCCCTAATTTAGGAGTGTGAGACTAGAGGGAAGGCAGCTAGTCATCACCACCCACCGCCAACTCTTGGGTTACTCTTTTACCAACGAATAGTGGGATTGACCGTAACATTATAACGCCCTCATGGCTGAAAGGGCGAGCATGTTTGGTGTGACGGGGATTCGAACCCTCCGTCAGCAGATTACGAGTCGAGCTCTCTAACCACCTGGCCATGCCGGGTTATTTAGTAAATACTTTATTATTTTCCCAGGTCACTGGCTAAAAGTAATGAACAGTATTTAGAAGAAGAATGGTATAAATAATCTTATATCCTTATAGCACAATTTCTATACATTAAAAAATGCTGTATAATGGTGTAAAGTATGGTACTGTAATTAACTTATGATAACACAGGCCTGCGATGATTTTATTGTCTTAAAATGTTTAGATGTTCTACAGTAATTCCTGTACGCTGAATCCGAAAATGATGTCTATTTTTCTCCATCACGTACAGATTTTTCACAAAACGTCATATGTACTTTTACATAAGTGAATCCTTTTCATTGAAATCGAGTCACATTTTGTTATGCTTAAAATGTTGACAACCACTGGCTTGACCAATCGCGACGTGAGAGTCTTATCGATCGTTCTAGAACCCAAACATAATAATAAAAAATGTTCATTGTGGTAAACGAAATAATAATTTGATCTAAGTAAGAGTTTTTTCTTACCGATTTGTAAAAAAAATCCTTACGTGATAGAAAAAATCAATATTATTTTCGAAATCCGTGTAGCTGAATTATGAAAAATCCGTTATTAAAACCAATACAACTTTTATGAAGTTTAAGTTCGCAGGCCTGTGTAATTTAAAATGTGTCTCTTTGACGATATCAAAATCAATAAGCATAATACATTAGGCTACTTAATAATTGAACGGTATAAAAAGAATGGGGCGTGTTATTTATTCTTAATTAAAAAAAACTGATTATATACAAAAACTAACTGACCAACCTCACAAAATATTTTTCCAGCCCAGCTTTGGTCGAAATTCCCTAGGATGATTCTTACATCTTTTTCCTGTCAACATAAAAAAACAGGGTTAAACTATATTCATCATATGTATGAACATAAAATTATCAGTTTATTCGAAAATACTAAACTTGCTTTACTGAATATTATGAAGCAAATCACGTATAAGAAAAGTCCTTGTTATTTCGCATGGACCATTTCCTTGTTGTTATCTGTGTCACTTAAAAGTACAGGAATGGAATGATTTGAATATGTTTGATGTTTAAAGGTAATAACACATTAACATTAGTTATTGAAGCATTATGTTCATAACACTTGTGACATTTCCATAATGTGTGAATTGAATTTCATAGTACCTTTCTCGTTAAAATACCTGATTTACTTTTCTTTATGAATATCTGAATATATAACATAATAATAGTAAGATAACTTTGGAAGAAACTTAACCAAGTTATAACGTGATAACACGACACGACAAGAACAAGGAAAACATTTCCAGTATTACTTTACAATTTCACTTTTTACAAAAAAAAAGAAAAACACATTTTGGAACAAAATTATATTTACTCGAGGATAATACTTTCCGTACATTCATGGGTCGATAAAAATGTGGCATTTCTTTTTATATGAACTGTTAAACACGATATATGGTTCTGTTTCACTCGGGTCTATACGTATTTTTAAATATAAGTTTTCAACTCTTTCACCGACAAGTAACAGTCTGGTTGAATATTGCCTCAGTGAACTTTGTCGTGTGTGCTTTACTGTAGAGGGTCGCGATTCTGTATAATTTTGATTGGGTGTGCTGGAACAGAAAGTAATAATTTTCTGTTTTTATTTAATTAATTCACAAAATACAAATATTAAATCCTTCATTTAGACCATTGTTTTCCAACTCGTTTTAAAAGTTATAATTAAACTCATATATCTGATAAGCTAGAAGTTTATGATACCTCAGATATACCAGCAGGAAAGGAAGTATTACACTAATAATCTTCCATTTTAATTCCCAGTTGATGATCGCACTGACAGTGTCAAATGAAATAAGCCTAATATCTGTCAGAAGCACAGGATGCTGCTACATACATTCCATTGGAAGATATGCAAATTGTATGATTTTCATTTAGGTTTGTTTAATGTTTATTATTTGTATTCTTATCTTCAGCAGTAGAATGGAAAATATGGTGAAATATGCAATAAAAGTTTTCATGTGATATCATACACATATGTTTCAAATAAAGTGCATGAAAATGACGTTTTATCATCTTTTGCTACTGACGAGGTTTTCGAGCGAGGATTAATGTCTGATCTTTTTCTCATGAATTAAAAAAGCCATCATATTTCAGTGCTTAAATTGGATTCCAGTTGCCAGTTAGTGAGTGAGTGAAACATACTTCTTCGAAATCTAGAATTTTGAACAGTAGCTTTTGTGCATAACCACAGTATAACTATCAATCGAGGTGCGTCTTAAATATATAAAAGATATTAATACAGATATACCTACATATACGCTGAGGTATTTCAGCGATAACAAATATTCTATCAGTAACAAAACTTTTATGTTAGTTTCAACATTAAATGGAAAGAGAGCATAATACAACAGCATATCCACACAAGTGACTTTCTATTCCGATATAACAACCAAACCAAAAACAATAAAAGCAACAGATACACATGGCAGAAAAGAAAAAAAAACAAGGAGAAGAGAAGAACAGCAGAAAAAATAAACACATGGAACAGATAAATAAGATTAAGAAACAAATAAGGCAACAAATATATAGGACAGAAAAATAAAAACAAAAAACAAGGAGAATAGAAGAACAATAGACGAAACAAACACATCGGACAGACAAATAAAACTCAACAAAAGGGAGAAAGAAAAAAGCGGGGTTTTTCACATATCTCAGGAAACAACGTTATGTTTATGATTGAATGTAAAAAAGTCTGGTAATTTGTATACGATTATACAAAGCTATTTGTACTTAAACCTTGGGTTAAAATGACTAGAGACTGAGCTTTGATTAATGTTTAATTGACATTTATGGCTATAATGAATTAGTCAGTATCACTTAACAATCACAGATATGGCTATAATGAATTACTCAGTACCAATGAAGATTGACTGATAGGGTTACACTGCATTACTCGATATTACTAAGATTATACTGAATTATTCAGTACAACTAGAGCTATACTGTCTTACCCAGCACCACTTAAGGCTGACTGTAAGTGTACCAAATTGGTAGTTGTTTGCATAGCATTTGCAAGAAATTAAATCGGAAAGTCGTGTCAACAACTGGTCTATTTACGATTACTAGTGTTTTGTTGCAGCCTTTTTTTAACATAACATAATATTTTGGGACAACACGGAGCCTATTGGTCCATCTCGGCTGTTCCGTCCTCAAAACTAAATTAAAATGATTAAAAAATATATACCTAGCCCTTTTCATTCATATACTTATCAAGCTTTTTCTTAAACTCACTTAAATTAACTGCCTCTACAACATCTAAAGGTAACCCATTCCAAAGGCCAACCACCATGTTAGAGAAATAGAACTGTCTTAGCTGAAGATGACTCCTATCTTGCCAAAATTTATATTTGTGTTCCATTGTTCTATTATTCTCATTGTTAAATATAAAAAAGATGATACATCAACACTATCAATTCTCTTTACAATTTTAAACACCTCAATCATATCCCCCTAACTCTTCTTTTTTCAAAAGAAAACAATTTGAGAGATTTCAGCCTCTCATCGTATGACAACTTTCTCCATCCCA